CGGGCAACTCCTTAGGAGATATTCTTTCGGATTATGTAAAAAAATTGCGCAAAAATATTTAAATTGATTGAAGAAATAACTTTTAAAAAGTTGCAAGTTTTAGCGGTCTCATATGCTAATTTTAGACCAAATCGGGGTAAAACCAATTTTGCTCAAAAACTCAAATTTTTCAACGTAGATCAAAAAACCGATTTGACCACGTTAGTAGGCTCAAAGAAAGGTGTCCAGCATCTGATTTTCAAGGAATTTGAAATTTTCATTGTGGCCGGATATTTTCGATTTTGCTCGATTTTTTCTGGACAGTCGCTCTTAAATGCACCTTTATTAATCTTTAATAGTGTAAGGAAATGTTAGTATAGGAACCATTAAATTGCTTTAATAATGCTAAGGAAAGGCCTTTAAATGCACCTTTATTAATCTTTAAAAGTTTAAGGAAATGTGAGGATAGTTACCATTAAATTGCTTTAATAATGCAAAGGAAAGGCCTATAAATGCGCCATTATTAACCTTTTATAGGGCAAGGAAATGCGAGTACCAGTGCAGGTACCATTGCAATTCTTTTAATACCCGTTATGAAAGTCCTTTAACTGCACATATATTATTCTTTAACGCTGTAAAGAAATGCGCGTATATCATTACTACTGCTTTAATATAGTAGAATGCTTATAAACACTTACATTTACGATGCTTTAAAGGCTATTAATTAATATTAATAATATGGTATTAATATCATTTACATAAGCTGTACTCAATAAATATATGGACACTTTCAGTCACTTAAATGAAGCTGCATTGTTAAATTGTTGATTCAAATTAGCAATCTTGTCTTTAGCGATTCTTGACTTGTATGTAGCTCTTGAGTACATCTTCTGGAGGTGAAAAAAATATATACAAATTAACCAATGATAAGTTAAGTGAAACACAAAAGTGTTTTATTATTACATTATATCACATATACAAATCTGTATACAAACACAAGTAATGCTTAGTATTTACCAAGTAAAAACTTAATCTTGTGACATTAATATTACACCACGTCCATGATCAGTTTCATTGATAGGATTTACTAAATTTGGCTATACTTTAAAATCATATGAATTTGTGGTTTATAATTCTGGTTTTCTTATACCTTTGAAGGAAATACAGTAGTTGATAATAATTCGTTGTAACGTAACCCGGCGATTCAAAACTTCGGTTTGATTCTCCAATTATGTAATTATGTAAAATACGTTATCGCGAATATAAATGTACCCTAGCACTACGTTATCTCGCGCTAAAGTATAGTGACTTTTGAAAAGGCTGGTCGAACTAGAACGAATTTGCTTGTATTATTTTGTACCAAAAAATACACTAAGAACCGGCCCATTCAGGGCAGGACGCAGGCTTGTTTCGTAACGAGGGTGGACCTTCCTTACGTCKGATCACCCTCCGCCTCACGAGCGAAGGCAAAGATTCTCTATKGTGTTTGTCTAGGGATCTTTTCCTTTTTTTAAGATCTGAGCTCTCCCAGACGAGTGGCTTTACTAGATAAACCGGGGAGCCATCCTCTAAATCACTTTCCTCACTAGACATGTAGTCTACTCTCATAACGTCCGCTACTTCTGCCTTTTTAGCGGCATTCCAGTTTTTGGAATCCAAACTTTTTAGCCGCCTTCCCAGTTTCTGCAAAATTTAACATATAGATGTCTTAGTGTCTAATTAGAAATCATGAAATGCAAAATGTATTTGACGTTTTATCACACTTCAATGTATTTTTTCTATTGTTTGAAT